GACAGGGTTTCCTAGGCAAAGGTTTAACTCCAGAGTTAATACATGCAACACTTTGGGGGACACCCTATGGGTGTCTGTCCAATGCATGAAGGTTCTTTTCACACTCAGCAGCCGCATCTGTAGCCCGGCGACCCCTGGCCACAGCTGGCTGGAGGGGAGGTGGATGCTCAGGGTGAGCTGGGCCAGTCAGGGTTCCTTCCCTGGGAATCTGGAATTAGGGCTAAAAAGAGCTATAAAAATCCAGGAGGTACAGTATCGGTATGTTTTCTAATATGTCAGATGAGAAGCAAAACTTTCCTGAGGCCAGGCTGTGTTCCTGCCCTCGGATCCCTTGAGATCTCTCCAAATCCTTATGTTAAACTCCCCTTTTTGCAGAAGGTGAAGCCTCCAAAGATGGCCGCCATCAGTGCCTTCCTTCCCTGGTGGCCCAAGTCATTCTTCCATAAGGAGAAGGGACCTATTTCCCCTCTCCAGTAGAACATGGAGGGGTGATGCCCTACCAGTTCCAGACCTAGCTGGTAAAAGTCCTGACAAACGTCCATCTTTGCTCCCTTGGGATCTGGCTGCCATGGAGAGCAGCTCAGGCCAGACTATCGAAAAAGGAGAGATCCCATGGAGAGAGCAAGCCACAAAGAGAACACGGGAGCACGGACTTGGGATTGCAGCTCTCAGTGCAGCCCCGCCACCAGCTGAATGCAGCTGAGGGAGTGACCCCAGCCTGTGCCCCATGGAGTTGAAAACCCATCCAGCAGAGCCCTGCCTGAATTCTCAACCCACAGGATCGCGAAACACAATGACTGTGGTTTCTTTCAGTCACTAAGTTGTGGGTGGCTGTTACGCAGCAGTAACAGATGACTCAAGCAGTCTCCCTGGAATTAATTTCCTTTCCTGCCAATAGTAGTCCGGGCACGTCGAATAACCTCTGACATCCCACTTAGTGCTTCAATAAGGAATGTGGGGGCAAAATGAGGCTGTTTGATGAATTTCCTTTCTGGCTACTATCTCTTCCTCTAGGGATGCTGAAGAAAGCAGAGCTGGGCTGTGGGCCGAGTGGTGAGCCAAGGTTTAGGCACTCCTCCCCCCACTCTCCAGGGAGAGAAGCGGGTCCTGTCTGCTGCTTGCCTGGGGCTCCCTGGGGTGGTCAGCTCCGGCCAAATTGGCCTAGGGAGGCAGCGCCTCCTGGGAGGCCTGAGGAAGATTCTTCTCTGTATCTCTCACAGCCACAGGAGTGCGCAGACCAATGTTGGTAGCTTTGGAGATACAAACAGGTGAAGAGGAACCGGAAAGGAACCAAGAGACCAGCACAGAATGGGTTCCAGCTTCTAGCTCCGCAAGGTCCCCTCCAAATCTGGGCTTTAAAAATCTCCATGTTCTTTGGAGTCTAAGAATTTGGGGCCAGGCCTTCAGGAAAGACACCCAAGTCAGCTGAGAGCTAAAAGCAGAATTCTGAAAGCTAGCCAGCCAGAGACGTACATCTTGGCTCCATGTGACCTTGGGCAAGCGACCTTGGGCAAATCGCTTCTCTAAGCTTGTTTCCTCACCTGCAAAAGGGGGTTAAATAATAGCACCTACTTGACAGGGTTGAGAGAAGCAGTTAAGGAGTTAATCTCCAGGAAGTTTTAGATTCAATGCTTGGCACATAGTAAGTGCTCAATAAATGGTGCCCAGTATGATGATTTCAAACCACTTCCTAGAAGACTCCACACCATAGAGCTGGTGTGAACCCAGAAGGGGTCTCATATACATCTGCCATTTTAACAGTTAGAAGGAGCTCATTTGCTCTGAGAGGGGCAGCCAACAGCATGGTCTGGGGTCCTCCATCAGACACGGCCAAATGCTATAGAGTCTGAGCAGGAAGGATCCCGAGAATCAGACTGACCTGCCTCATTAGATGGGTGGGAGAACTGAGGCCCCAAAGCCTCATTACCAGAGAACCTCGGGTTCTGAAATGGGACCCCCGTTGGCACCCTGTTTTCAGACTTGCTTCATTTCATGTCTGATGTATCATCTTGCTTTCTTCTGACTCTGCTCTGATCCCCTCCCAGGGAAGCATGGATAGAACAGGAATGAGGGCAGGTTTGAGATCGTAAGACACAAATAGCGACGGGTTTGCCTCTGGCAATGCTACCAGCAAGAACTGGCTGCTGGAACAGGGCAGGGAGACAGCCACGGCCAGAATCCTGTGGGACTGTCCTCCCCCACTCTGGCAGAAAGCACATCTCAGCAAAGGGACACTCTGTCATCAAGAGCTTGGCCCCGGCCTCCCTGGAAGCCTCTCAAATCTCCTTTAGGGGAAGCCAGGGCTGCTGGAATTCCAGGGCTTGCCAAACAGGCGTCTCAGGGCATAATTCTAGAACGGAAGCCCTGGCCGGGGTCAAAGACTGAGCTTCCTAAGCAAATTCATCTCTAAACGACTGCCACCATTTATGGAGCGTGTGCTCTGTTCCAGGCACTACGATAATCCTGTGCCTCCTAACTAAACACTCACCAAGAATTATGCGCTGATGTTGTCCCCATTTTACAGAGGAGGAAACTGAGGCACAGAGAGGCTAACGTGGTGTACCTAAGGTCACACAGAGGGTAAGTGGTAGAGCTGGAATTTGAACCCAGGTATCTCTGACTCTGGGTCCCCAGTTGTTAACCACGGTGCCATTCTACCACGTCACCAAGTTAGTTGAGGCAATATGACAGGACATGGAGGACGAAGCAGGGGACCCATCTATCCTGTTCTAGAATGTTCCAGAATGTTCATGCTGCAATCTGCTCGGGCCACAGAGACCTCCTTAACTTCACCCTCAGAGGCAGCCCACCTGATACATTTGAACATGGCTGGCACCCCTGGCCACAGCTGATTGGATGAGAGCCCCTGACATAAGCCAGCCAATCAGAGTGCCTTCCCTGGGAATTTGGACCCTCGGCTACAAGATTCTAAATTCTCCATCATCTTGGCCACAGGGGATATCTACAGAAATTTGGGGCAATATGGTCTGCCACGTTCACTCACTTACTCAGCAAATATTTTACTGCACACCTACTATGAGCCAGGCTCTGAGAATTCACTAGTGAACAAAACAGGCAAACATCTCTACCTATAGGATTCTCACAACCTAACAGGGGAGAGATGTACAAGAGTCAAAATAAATATATAACATATAAAATATGTTACCTGATTGTAAGCACTATGCCAGAAAATGGCTGAGAGGAGTTTTGCTGGTAAGTGTCCACTCTTAAAACCCATATCCCTCACTTCCAAAAGGCTGAGGCCCATTGTTGGGGGAAGTGAACACACACATAGGCACACACACACACACTCACAGACCTCCTGCCTGGACGACTTCCCACCCTTGATAGGTCTTTTATAAAGCAAAATTAAGGGGAGCCTGGCTGGCTCAGTCGATTAAGCATCCGACTCCCGGTTTTGGCTCAGGTCATGATCTCACGGTTCCGTGGGTTCAAGCCCCGCATCGGGCTCTGCACGGACAGTGCAGAACCTGCTTGGGATTTTCCTTCTCCCTCTCTCTCTGCCCCTCCCCCCCTCTCAAAATAAATAAACTTAAAAAAATAATAGAAAGAAAAATTAAGAATTCGATCCTATAAGCAGGCCCCTTGAGATCTCTCCCTTCGGCAGCCTCCGGGGTATTCAGACGGAGGGCGACCCATGAGGCGGACCCAGGAAGTACGTGGCAGGCGCCTGTCATATGTCAGCAGTGCTCCCCATCCACCCTGAGTAAAATCGTCTGCAGAGACTCAAACCAAAGGCGCCAACTTCCAGTCTCCATCCAAGAACCTCTTTAACCCTTAGCTGAGTGTGTGGGTAGGGACATAAACGGCACCTCGGTGCCTGCGTCCGTTGTAAGCAATTGGCAAGGGCCGCCCCTGGCAGAAGGGGGACTGGGAAGGGGGCTGGGAAGGAGCAAGTCCATTTGAGACCCTGGTCCTGGAGGACCCTCCAGCGGACCGGCATCCCGACAGCCGGTCTTCCACCTGTACCGAGAGCCCCCATACACACATACTGTCCTAGGTCCCTGCCTGCCTCCTACCTCCCCGACCCCATGGTCACCCCCGCTTTCTCCACTCCTCCCTTCGCAAGACCACCCACACACTGCTCCCTCACTCTCTAGCACTGGCCTTGCTCACTGATTTTGTCACTCTCTGACGCACCTGTTACACAGCCTCCTTCTAGCCCTTGCTCCTCTCCCCATACATTTTTAAACTATCTGCTCTCCGAACTCCACCTTTCCCTTCTTCTTACCATTTATGAAACACTGAGTGTCACCAGGGTCTGGGCCAAGGAGCTTACATGCATCATCTCATCTGCTGCTTGCAACAGTCCTGTGGGATAAGTACTGTCGTGCCCCCCACTCGACAAGTGAGCAAACGGAGGCTCAGAGAGGTGAGGCATCATGCCCGGGACCCACAGCGGGCAAGCAGGGAACTGGGACAAAACCCTGGGGTTCTTCAAGTCCAGACCTGTCAGGTTAACCTCTGCTGCCTCCCTCTCGTGCTGTCTCCCTCTTTCAAGCTCCATTTCTGCAATTCTCTTTTCTAAGTTCATTTCAAATGCGCTATTTGGCATACCGTCCCTAGACAGACCACTCTTCTCCTTAGCTCTCCCTCGGCTGTATATTCTGGTCAATGGTGACTCCAGAGCATATTTCTACGTAACTGAAATTGGCCAAGACGCCCTGCGCTCACAATCACTGGCCCCCAGGCTCCAGTGACAATCTCCTACCATCCTACCAGAGCTCCCCCTCTGTATGGCACCCCTAGCCTCCAAGTCCCCTCCCTAGCGAGCCCCCAGCCCATTCTCTCTCCTCCTCCCTGAGCTCTCCCACCTAATGCCACAAGGATACCAGTTCTGCAGGGTCAGCGGTCTGGCAGGTCATGGACGGCAAACCCTCAGGGAAGCCCCGCCACCCCAGCACACCCCTGGGCGGCACAGCCTGCTGGCCCTCGGGCCCCGGGGGCTCTCCGGACAGACGGCAGGTGTCAGGCCTCACCCAATTCGCTCCTGCTCCATCTCTTCCATTTTCTCAGCTCGAGCGATCACCCTGTTGATGATTTCCTTCTCCTCATCTGTCAGCTCTTCCTGCTTCCTCTGTCTGTCGGGCGGACCGCTGGGATGGACGGGCCAGCCTGCCTGGAGCCTGAAAGGTAACATGGGAAGGCGTGAGGCTGTGCAGCAGGAAGAAGACTGTGGTTAGGTTCTGGTCCCTGGTGTCTTCAGTTAAACTTCCTGCTGGGAAACTCTCCAGCTAGGAGATGAGCCTCAGTTTGCTCATCTGTACAATGGGACACGTTCCTCCCTCATAGGGTTCTCATGAGTTTCTGTCTACCGAGTGCTTAGCACATGGTAGGCATATTCTGTGAGCAGCATTTGTAGGAAGTTCAGGAGAACCCAGAGAGTAAGGGTGTTCTCGGGAGAAGAACCCAGAACAGTAGACTCCACAGCCGGAGGGGAAACCATTCTGGGAGGAGGGGGTCCGAGGCTGACCCAGCTCCTGCCTGCACATATGTTCTGTTTGTGCAGCAGATTATTTCCTTTATAAGTTGGAAAGAATTGCCAACAGGGTTTACAAAAAGCTCGTAATTTCACAAAAACATCCAGATTTCCAGCCTCAGAAGCTCCCGTAGCGTTTTGCATTCCATCTTGTGCGTTTTTTGGCTTTTCTTTCTTTCTTTCTTTCTTTCTTTCTTTCTTTCT